CTACTATTTGATCTCATGAAGTCTCCCTACCAAAAGTTCCCACTATCAAGCCCACAACTCTTTACTACAAAGCAGTCTTACTTTATGTTCAACCTAAGATCAAAGAGAAAAGTTTGAGAAAAAAAATTTACCTTTATCACCAACAAAGATTACTCAGCAACATGGATAGAGCTGCCTGAGCTTAGGATTGTGTCTTGAGTTTGAGACACAAAAGGCAACAGAGAGAAGAGAAGGCTGCCTGTTCCTAGTGGGATTCTTGTGTTTAGTAAAGGTACCACACTTCCCAGATCTTTCAGATGTAAGTATTTTAACCTCATTTTATCACTCACCAGCTACCTGGACCCCCCAGCACAACATGCAAGCTTTTTATGTCCTGCTCTTGAGGATAAGGCTGGCAAAATTTGCATTTGTGCCCCATATCACAGGCACTATATAACTAGACCCAAGGGCTTGTGGAGCTACCCCTCAGAAACAAGTAAACCATAAACTCTTCAGACAGAAAACACATACCACAGGTTAACATAAGCAACTATTGAGAAAAGTAGTTTTCTCTCCAGACCATGTATCAGTGTCTGAACAATTTACACCAAATGTGTAAAAAGAGGGGAAGTCAAGCCAAGGACCTTGTGTACTGAAGGTCAGTTGCTCTTGCACTTTCACTCTTACCTATGTATTTATGTTTTGCCTTTGGGGTACGAGACAGTTGAGAAATTACACTTCACCCTTTTAGAGGGGGGAAATCTCTTCTTAAGAGTTACTCCGTGGGGACTTCCCTAATGGTCCAGTGACTGAGACTGCCCTACCCAGTGCGGGGGTGGGGGCGTGTGTGGCGCGCGCAGGTTCCATCCCTGGTCAGGCAACTGGGCAGCTAAAATACACAAATAATCTGTTTTTTTTAAAGGAGCAACTCAATGGCTAATCAGAAAACATACAGGTGTTGGGGGTGAAGTATCCTTTTCGAGGTGGGGGTAGAAGGAGCAAGTTTCTCACAGTAACGTGAAGATACTTCTCAATTTAGACCCATAAAAAACAAATCTGCTATTCATGCAAGACAAGATGCCCTACCATCCCTCCCCTCTATAAAGCTGGGTTCACTGAAATGTTTCCGTAAATACCACCTAACTTCACTGCACGTGCCTTTCACCACTGGTCAATGGTACTGCTGACCTACAGAACTATATCTTAATTTCCTCAAGCAATCAGGACAACAGAGAGCAACATATTAAAAAAGCAGCCTTTTAAACCATGTTCTATCCTGCAGCACAGTCTCACTCAACTTCAGTTCTGCCCCACACCACTTTGGCATCAGAGCCTCGTTTCCACTGTCCGAAGTGGCTGGTGAACTCCAACACGGTAAGCGCAGCAGCCTTTGTAACCCTCCACTACCCGGAACCCTTCACCATCTTTCGATCAGGTTCCTCAATACTGGGTGAAGGCTAATTCTATCAATGTCAAAGTCAGTCAACAATGCTTATGTTTTATGCTGTTTCTTTAGAATTTATCAAACATCTGAAAAAAACTAGAAACAAACTGGCACACTAAAGATTATTAGCCTCTAACATAACCTGACCTACCCCATCATACCATCTTAGAAAGTCTAAACTGGGGGTTCTCAACCAAGAGACATTTGACAACGTCTGCATTTATTTTTGACAGCCACTAAGGAAGCCCAAAATGTCAGTAGTGCTCAGATTAAGGAACACTGGTTCAAGCTGAAGCTCTACATTATTAGATCTTAGTCTCTTACTAGGTCTCATACCAAAGAACTTAAGATCTCAGAATCCAAAAAATTCCCTCATAATCTCTCTGGGCCATTTCTTCCCACAGCAGATCAAGTGGGCAGTTCATGATCTGTCACGGTAGTATTCACAAAGGGAGATCTTAAGACACTCTGTGCAAGTTGCTGATCCAGAACTAAGGTGAGGGCAACTCTGAGAAGTCATACTTCTCGAGTTTAAAGTCAAGTCATAAACACAGTGGAAAACTTCAGCCCACAACAATCAGTTACTCTGGACTTTGCAGTATTGGTGAAAATTCAGGTTGTCCCTGTAATATAAGTTATAGGACACTCCATCTAGGAGTGGTGTCCCTACAGACAACTTCCACACGTGTTCAGTTCAGTTCAGTCGCTCAGTCGGGTCCGACTCTTTATGACCCCATGAATCACAGCACGCCAGGCCTCCCTGTCCATCACCAACTGCCAGAGTTTACTCAAACTCATGTCCATCGAGTCGGTGATGCCATCCAGCCATCTCATCCTCTGTCGTCCCCTTCTCCTCCTGCCCCCAATCCCTCCCAGCATCAGGGTTTTTTCCAATGAGTCAACTCTTCGCATGAGGTGGCCAAAGGATTGGAGTTTCAGCTTCAGCATCAGTCCTTCCAATGAACACCCAGGACTGATCTCCTTTAGGATGGACTATTTGGATCTCCTTGCAGTCCTACGGACTCTCAAGAGTCTTCTCCAACACCACAGTTCAAAAGCATCAATTCTTCGGCACTCGGCTTTCTTAACAGTCCAACTCTAACATCCATACATGACCACTGGAAAAACCATAGCCTTGACTAGACGGACCTTTGTAGGCAAAGTAATGTCTCTGCTTTTTAATATGCTATCTAGGTTGGTCGTAAGGCAAACCAGAGCAGTAGCAGGTAAAACATTAATGACTGGCTCTGAAAAGGAAAACACCATCGAAAGGCCAGGTAACCAACTAGTGAAAAGTTAAGGTGAAAGTAACAAGGCTAGACTGCGGTGTGGAGTTGGCTTACAAAGCTTCTGTGTACACTGGCACATTGACTTCAGTTCACTAACAAGTCAAAAAATACCCCTGGAGACAATCAAGACCCACAATCCATTTGCCACAGGTTGGCGAAACTCACAGGATCACAACAGACACACACTGAGTCTGTGGGTGGGAACCTAAGTGTGATGTTTAAAGGACCTTGAGGTGAATAGGAGACCTGGAGAACATGCACTAATTCATCTTGGAGATTAACCTAATGGTATCAAAGTTTTAGTTAACTGTTTGTTTCAGGGGCTAGACTTGGCAAAACCTTTCTTTTCTAAACTTTTTTTTACAATCCCTAAAGGACCATAACACAATCTTTCACATCAGTACAGGATTAATTAAAAAACCAAATTAATCATGCAACTGCTTTCTGGGGAAGGGGACAAATCAACACCGTCAGTTCAAAAGGATACCACTAAATGGAAGCACCAGGCTACTAGATACAGGCCAATTCTCCTGTTTTGCGAGCCAAAAGTTCCATAGATGGATTAAAAATCCTCGAGATCAACTATGCTCCCTGCCTCATTAGCGGGGCCAACCTCGAAGAACCCCTATCCTTCATGGAAATCCCTAAGCAGACAATTGGAAAGTTTGAACTTCTAATATTTTCAGCAAAAAAGCAAAACTTTTCAGTTAACTAATAAAGCTGTATTACAGCAATATAACTGCCTGCCCAAGATCTGTCCTCCTGTTATTTCACTCTTGTCCCATTTGGAACTCCCTTTTTTGATGAACATTAAAAATCATCTTAATGTTGGTTTCTTTGAAACCTCAAGAGCTCAGTTGGTAAAGAATTTGCCTGCAACGCGGGAGACCTGGGTTCGATCCCTGGGTTGGGAAGAGTCCCTGGAAAATGTAAAGGCTATCCACTCCAGTATTCTGGCCTGGAGAATTCCGTGAACTATACAGTCCATGGGGTCAAAGAGTCGAACAAGCCTGAACTTTCACTTCAAAAAACCATTTTAATCCACATCACAGGACCAATATCCGAGATGAGAAAGAAAAATGAAGCTATGTGTTCAGAGTAACATTTAAGTTTCCTATTTCCTTACTTCTGCAATTAAAAGAAAATCGGGGAAATAATTCTATATAGTCCTTTCCTGTAGTCACTAAAACCAGAAGGAAGTAACCTTCACAATCCGGTCGTGCTGGAGGGTCAGAGGGTGGTAAAGGTACTTAAAACCAAGCAGGGTTATACAATACTAAGAAACAGAAAGGTCGAGTGAAGTTTTAAACAGCAGGGTAAAACTAATTCTGGGTCGAGAAAGGAGATGCAAGGTGGGGGATATCAAAATTTCTATGCGGCCATCTGAACTTCTAGAGAGAAAACTACCTTTGGAATCTTCCAGCAAGTCTTCTCAAGTTCCCACTTCCGGCTTTAGGGAGGAAAAAAAAAATTTCTTTCAGCTTTAAAAGAAATACCCACCCCCACCCCGCGAACGAAAACACTCTCCTCACACTTTCAGTAACTAACCCAGCAGCCGTACGGAGGTTCGCCACCTATTAGATGAAAAGGTCTCTCTCCAAAGACCTGTGGACCAAAAAACGTGCTTTGGTTTCTAAAGCGATGCCTTCCAGACCAAATTTGAGAGCACCTCGAGTTTCTAGATTACCATTTTTCAATTTTCTTTTAGAAAAACTTTTCTGTTGACGGTTCTGCACAAACCGCGGTGGCTCACACCAACCCCTGTAGTCTTGCTTTGGAGACAGGACCAATAAAAGCAGAGACCTAATTCTATCTTTAATCGGCTACGGTGACACGCATTTATTGCACTGGTTACCTTTTAGATCTAAAGATTCGAGTGGCAGGAAAGGATAATTTAACATCCACACACGTCTAAAGAGCGAAAAGTTCAGCTATTTGAGAACCTCATAAAATGACAAGTTCCGCAGCGGCGCACTGAGCGCTTAGTGAAGTTGCAGTGGACACGGGTCCGACTTCGGCCTGGGCGGAATCTCCCCAGAATTTCAGGAAGGGTGGGGGCGGTTCGGAGCTCCGTCGCACCATGCAAAGTGGGTCTCACGTGCGCCGCCGGGCTCCCCGAGGGAGAGCTCTGTACCACAAAGGTGCAGCGTGCGCCCCCGGCCCGGGTCCCGCGGGAGCGCCCCAGACCACGCGGAGGGAGGGCAGCGGGGTCCCCTGGGAAGGAGCGTGGGGCCCAGAGGGCCGGCGGGGCCTCCCGGCTCGGAGCCCGAGCGCGGCCAGGGCCTCACCTTGCTGCGGTCCTCCTCCTGCTGCTGCAACACCTCGGGAACCGCGGCCATGGCGACGCGGGTCTCGAGCGGGGCCGCCTGGCTGTGCGAGGAGAGAAGAGGCTGGGCCGCCGCCGCCGCCGGGGCGCCTCTCAGGAGATGGGGCGGCCGCGGCCCCGCCTCCGCCAGCCTTCCTGCCCGACGGCTGCGGGAGGCCTCGAGATTCCGCCACCATCCCAGCAGCCCCGGGAAAGGCGAGCGGCGCCCCCACGTGCTCCCCCAGGGCGGCCTCCCCCGTCCCCGCTGCCGTCCATCTTGGAGCCGGGCAAAGAAGCGACGCGGGGGCCTACCCTCGCTCCGGGCCACGCGGAAGCCGCCAACCGCAGGGCCGCCTTGGGGAGGCGGAAGCCCAAACACTCTGACACCGAGGCACGTCTCAAGAAAGGGCGCGCGCGTCTGTGCCGGGGGAATTTATTACTCAGCCAGAGCCCAAGATGGCGACGAGCTCTGACGTCACCAGATCTCGCGAGAGAGAAATGGCGCGATTTGGAGGCGCCCGCGCTCCCGCCGGAGGGAGGGTTTCCCCACTGAGCGCCGGAGAATGGACGGATCTGGGGGACCAGGGATAGGGGCGGGGCATGAGCGCCGCAATGCTTGCTGGGGCCGCCGTGCCTGGGCGGGGCCTAGCCTGAGGGCAAAGCGCGGGACGGACGAAAGAACCGGCCCGTGGGGTCGTTCGCGCGCTGAAGCTAGCGGAGGGCACCGGCTTCTGAGGTACCTCCCTGCTGGCTGTTCCCTACCATGATTCTCGTGCGAGGGACCGCCGCTGGCCTGGTCCTGTGGGGCTCCGCCGAAGCGCGTACAGGGCGGCGGGGCGCTACTGACCGCCCCTGGCGGTTCAGACCGGTCGGGAGCGCCAGTGCCCAGTCTTGAGTGGATCCTAGCGGCGCCCACTGTAGGGGGTGTGAGGGGGTTAGATGAGAGCTCTCCCTCCATGCTACTTTTCAGAGTCTGGTTGTCAATCTTATGGTTCCCTGGGGAGAAGTTGGGGGGAGGAATAAATGGGAGATTTGGGAGTGCCATATTGTTGCTCTTCAGTCGTGCACGACTCTTTGCGACCCATGGACTGCGTCCCAGCCGGTGGACTGCAGCACGCCAGGCTCCTCTGGCCTCCACCGTCTTCTGGCGTTTGATCAAATCCACGCCCATCAAGTTCGTGACGTGAGCTTCCCTGGTTGCTCAGACGGTGATGCTATCTCACCGGCTTATCTTCTGTTGCCCCCTTCTTCCTTTGCCTTCCGTCTTTCCCAGCATCAGGGTCTTATTGGAAAGACCGCTCTTCACATCAGGTGGCCAAACTATTGGAACTTCAGCAGCAGCTCTTCCAGTGACTATTCAAGGTTGATTTCCTTTAGGATTGACTGGGTTTGATCTCTTGGCTGTCCAAGGGACTCTCAAGAGTCTTCTTCAGCACCACAATTTGAAAGGGTTGTGACACATACCCCACTGCTTCTGAAGAAGGAAATGGCAACCCACTCCAGTATTCTTGCCTAGAGAGTCCATGGATGGGGCCGCAAAGAGTCGGACACCACAGCACATAGGCAAACAAGGACCTGCTGTAAAGCACAGAAAACTACTCGATACTCTGCAATGGCCTATGTGGGATAAGAATCTTAAAGAGAGGGGATATATGTGTATGTATAACTGACTCACTTTGCTCTACACCTGAAACTGATATAACATTGTAAATCAACTATACTCCAATAAAAATTTTTTTTTAGAAATCTGATGTTTAGGGATTAGTGGTTAAACTGCTAAGTGTGACCACCAGGCTCCTCTAGCGTCCTGGCCTGTGTTTCTTTGTATTACACAGAGCTCCCTTCATAGGCAACAGTGGGCACTGTAGTGAATGTCAGGGACACCTGTTTACTATTTCACATTTAACAAATGCTGGTCCTTCAGAAGTAGTTTTGTACAAATAGTACCAATTCCAAGCTCAGCTGCAGGACAAGACAAGAGATCGACTGATAAGCTTTTGGGACAAGGAATAGCAACTTTATTTGGAAAGCCAGCAGACCCAGAGGATGGTGGACTAGTGCCCCAAAGAGCCATTTTTCCAGAGTTAGAATTGAGACTTCTTTTATCCTAAAAGAGGAGGGAGTGTTGCTGGTTGTTGCAAACTTCTTGGTGCAGGAATCCTTTGTTCTTGTAGCTGCCCAGGGGGGTCTGGTCACAATGCTCCTAAAAACCTCAAACAAGACAATTATTTCTGTTCTGTAACTTTTTATGCTTGGAAAAGTGTTAGTACCTTTAAAGATCAGAATTCTGAGAATGGGCCTTCCTGTATATTCCAGGCTGTAGGCATAACATTCTCCTACAAAAGATGCAAAGCACGCATTAAGCCCTGGCAGGGAACTAAGGTTAGAATTAAAGGAATATAAAAGTCAGGTTTGTTCTCTGTTAAACATGTTGGGGGAAAAAAAAAATGTTGAAAAAGCTTATTGAATACAATTTAAAGAGCAATAGCATACTGTTGCAGCTTTCACTTTGATGGTTCAAACGTTTAACACATCTAATATCTAATACCACTTTCTCTTTGATAGGAAAGCAAAAATTAAAAAGGCCTTCAACGTTACAAGTATACCAGAGGGAAGTGAAGAAAAAAAGTCTAAAGATGAAGGTATTTCAGACCATCTGCAGGCAGCTTCAAAGTTCAAAGAGGCTTTTTGTAGAAACAGCCCCCCGTGTTGTTTTCTCCACTTCCTCTTATTTGTGTGGCCGGAAGAAAAGAGTGAACCCTTATGAACAAGTGGACCAGGAAAAATACTCTGATTTGGTCAGGTCTGTCTTGTCGTTCAGAGGCCATGCTCGGACTCCACAGTCTCTGTTCGAGGAAGACGCTTTACTCTATGGACCGGTGAGTAAGAGTAAGGCCCCAAAGCAAGAAGAAGAAGCAGTTCCACAAAATTGGTTTCCTCTGTTCAATCCAGAGAAAAGCATAAAACCAGACCCAGCAAGGGATCCTCCAGTTCCTCTGAAAATCCCTTTTCAAAGGAATGCGATACCAAGCGTGACCCGAGTCCTGCAGCAGACCATGACGTCAGAACAGACTTTCTACCTGGAGAAGTGGAGGCAGCGCATGATTCTGGAACTGGGAGAGGATGGCTTTGCCGAATATACTTCAAGTAATCTTCTCAATCCTGATTCTTATGGTTATTATGTTTCCCAGAGTAGAAGGCACCACTATAGCTAGTGAAGAGCTGCTTTCAGATGATAGTATTAACAGCGTTTTTTAGAACTCACTTTATTATCACGACAACCCTATGAAGCACAGATACCATTATCCCCATTTTACAGATAAAGCAGAGAGATCAAATACTCTGACTAAAAGATGTATAAAATTCATTTGTTTTATAAGCTATAGACTTGAGTATTAGAATTTCCTGTTGTTTTTTTTAATGGGCTAGTCGATAATCACATAATGGAGTTCTAGTTGTAGCTAGGCATTCTGTTCAGAATCTAGTAAATGCCCCCTTGCTCTGCTTACTTGTAAGTTTAAAGACTGGCAATACGTCAGAACGTGTGATCTGTATTTAGATCTTAGTAAACTGAGGTAGATGTTCAGAGCCTGCAACTCCTGTCCTAACTCCCTAACTTGGACAACCAAGGAAAATAGCTTTCATAAAATAGATTCCACCCAAAAGCAAGATGAAAGAAGAGACCGTTAGTACAGGTGAATTCGCTGCTCCCCAGCAGGATCACAGTTGTTAAAGCTAAGTTTACACTGAGCATCCTTTAGTCCACGCTTCCCAGAGAGCAGGACATGCACCCGTAGTGATGCAGAAGCACTTTAATATAGGAGTAATACTTATTTTTAGGCATCTTAGAACAAAGATGTGTATGCGTAACATATTAAACCTGTGGTCACATGTGGTTTAAAGGAAAAATGTTAAGTATTTAGGTGGCATTTGGATATGGGGAAAATTATCAAGCCCCATATAAATTCCTCAGCTGCCTCAGCCAAGGACTGCATGCCAGGGCTGACTGCCCTCTTAATATAGTTAAGTAGTAACAACCACCAAATTTCTCAGCTTGTTAAAAGAGCAACATTTTAAAAAAATATTTTAGTGGCATTTTAAGTTTTTTATCTGAAACACTAGAATTTTAAATGGACATTGTTTCCTATGGAAAGTTTTGTTTTGTTTTGTTTTATTCTCTTTAAACCAGAACTATCACAGCTTATGGGGATCTAAGAAACCTGCTGGGATGTTACGTACCTAGGTCTGTAGCTCTTGGCACAAAGGAAGGAAGTACTTTGCTGGCTCCTTCATAAAGGAGACGAGTTGTTTGGTTTGAGCCAGCCCACTATCCCAGGCGGAGAGAAAACTGGTTGACTCCATGAAATCAACTTTATAGATCTAGATTAGTATGATATGATTTCTCGGTCAATTTAGGATCAACCTTAAACAGGCAGAATTTTTTTTTTTTTTTTTTTAAATAATGGAGCAGTCACATACAGATTCATGTCATGGCCCAAAAAAAAGAAGAAAGAAAAAGAGCAGGAAGGTACGTCCCTGGCAGTCCAGTGGCTCCACTGTAGCAGCGATAGTTCCATCCCTGGTCAGGGAACTAAGATGCCACACGCTGCACAGTGTGACCAAAAAACCCCCCAAAACATAGGGTCAGTTTCCCAAGCACCAATTTACCTTTTGAAGATTGTGGAGGATAAGAAAGTCTGACTTTGATTTATACTTGTGTTGATCCTAGTGGGAAAGCTGGGGTTTATATTTTCCTTTTTTTTGCTACATTGAATTTTTTTTAATTCTAAAATATCCATGCTTGTCAGTTAGAATATAGGAGATTCATGATTTTTTTGTTGTTAATATAAGACTTGAAAACACTGCACTTTTATTCAAGGAACACTGTAACTTAATTGCTATCTGCAATAACTCTTAAGTCTTTTAAAATTTATTTTCACAAGTTGAATCATGTTTAATGTTCTTAGCTTTACAATCCTAAGGAATCCTGTAACCCAGATCCTCATGTTTGTTGCCTTGCACCTTACATGTGAAGAGCTCGCCAGGGGGTAAAGACTGCAGTGGAGAATGGGTTGTCTCTTAGCTGGGCTCTTGATAAAGCCGTTTTTTTCCTTCCTGTTTTTAATGTGTTTGTGTTCTGCTTCATTAAAGCTAATCTGTAGATGAAAACTACACTTCTTTTCCCTGGGTTTTAATTCCATAAGTCTTAAACATTTGTAGGCCTTTTATGTACTGCTAAGTCCAATTAAGGCAGGTAAATTTGGAGTGGAATAACTTAGATCCTCAGTTGAATTTCACTTCACTTTCTAAGTCGTGTCCCCAAAGCAATTCCATTTTTCGCCAGTAATAGAACTGACCTTTCAAAATCTTTGTAAAAACTACTTGGCAAAGGTAATATGGTTTGCCATTGCCTCATTAGCCGAGGACTTTCCCCATTTTCTGTGGGCGTGTCTCCAAGCACATATATTTGCTCCTCTGTTTCTGTGTGTCGCTCTACCTGATGGCCCCTGAGTTTTCTTCTTGCTCTACTGGGTGACGGGCTGGAATGAGCATGGACTCTGGGGCCAGGCCCATGCAGCTTTTTGCTCTGGGCAGTTTAATAGCACTGCCTGGGCCTCATTAAACTGGGGGAGAAGATCCTTATCTTGCCGGGTTGCTGTATTTCAAAGTTAACAGTTTGAAAGTGCCAAATTTAGTGCTTAGTATAGCAACACCCTCTGTCTTTCCTTCCTTAATCAAGAGTCAAGTGAATATATAGTATATCTCGCACTTGTTGAATATGTTTGTGTTCTCTTTTCTTAACTTAAAAGTGTATGAGGAAAAAAAAATGAGGACAGAGCCACTATCTCAGGCTGCCCTCATCCTAAAAGCAAGCACAGGTGCAGAATGTCATGTTTTCCTCCCCTCCCCCAAGCCCCACAACGTTAATTCCTGCATGCCTTGATTTTCATGCCTTTCCTGTCACTAAGCCTATTGGCAAAGGACGCCTCCACCAGTGTTCATAAGTCAGATTTGGTTGTAAAAAGAACTATAAACAAGTGCAGTTCTCTAAATGTCTAACAACTATCACAGCTGGTTAACTTACTGGTTACCTACATTAAATGAATTTTAAAATTCACAGTGCTATGTGAATTCACTAGGTATGATCCTGCAGCCCCCAAATCTTCAATTCTAGCTTTGGCCTAATTCTACTAGAAATGCTTCATTTTAATCCATTGTATTATCTAAACTCTTCTAGTCCCTTTTGTTCTCAAAGTGCATTCTTATGTTTCACAGGAGGCTGAAATATGGTGTCTTAGAGGTTATCACTTAAAGGAAATTCATGTGATTTTTAATTTCACTGTTCAGAGTCTTATAGAGTATTTGTTCTTTAGTACTAGCTTTGTTTGGGGTATTTTTTGTTGTCCCTTTCCTCTGATTTTCTTTTCAGACATGTTTTTACAAGGGAAGCAGTTTCATGGAGCCTTGGAAAGCATACTTTCACCCCAGGGGAACTTAAAAGAGAGAGATGAAAGTCTCCCTGAATCTGGCTACGTGCAAAGTGTGCAGCATGTTTTGAAAGACATCAGTGGAGTGCGGGCCCTGGAAAGTGCAGTTAAACATGAGACCTTACAGTATGTGGGTCTGCTGGACTGTGTGGCTGATTATCAGTAAGTATATTTGGTTTTTCACATCAAATGTGGAGGTGAATTAATTCTGGGTGGGACGCATGGTTCCCATCCAGCACTAGTTTTTCCTCTCAACTCCTGCTTCAAGGTAGAGCCTGTGCAAAGTCACATCAGGTGAGAGCCATGTCATCCTTGTCAATCTATGTGCCCAAGTCAGGGTGTTTGGCAGAAGAAAGGTGTAACTGACCAGTATGGCTAGGATGGCCTGTTTTCCGGCATGTCCCCCCGCTCCCCACCCTCAGGCAAGGTACCAGCCATAAGATCCAATTTGATTCCTGCATTGTTTTTCCTGTTTTGCTAAAAATGACACCTTGGTCTATTGGCCCTGAAAATCAACTTTCTTCAAGGCTTCCATGCAGTGTTTGACATGCAGAGGAATGCTGAGCTCACTAAAACTTCCTGTGATCTTTAAGTTGCTGCTGTTACTGTTTTCCCCACTTACTCCAGATTTCAAGGGTAGATATAACCTGCAGATATCCGTATTCCCCAAGAAAGCATATGAGCAATAAAGAGGGTGGGGGCAAAATCTGTTAGTATAACCCATGGAACTCTAGTTAAGATAACTGGGCTCTGGAGACACGCTGCCTGAGTTTGGTTTCTGGGTTTTCTTCTTAACTATGGGCTACTTACTTAGCTTCTCTGTACCTCCATTTGTTCATCTGTAAAATAGGGCAAATAATAGTACCTACCTCACAGGTTTGTTACAGAGGTTAAATGAGACATTCCTGGTACAGTACTTAAAATGCATACTATCTGCTCAGAAAGTGCTAGCCTTGTTATTTTGACCCTCTTCTCTCTTTTTAACTGCTGTTTAGTGTGAATGAAGTGTACCCGCTTCCATACTGGGAGCTCTCAGGTTATTTCTAGAGCTTCACAGTTACAAACTAGCAGTGACCAGGTCTCCTCGTGTTCTGTCCTGACAGTTTCTTTTGGCAGGTGCACAGGTTCATTGGTTTGTTTTGGTGAGTGACCTGTGAGATACGAATAAATCCAGTCGATCTGAAGTAGGCCTGGGTATGAATGGTTCTTAAATTCTCCAGGCACTTGTCACTTGCACCCGGGATATCAAACCGTTGCTCTATGGTACAGACCTGAAAGGGAAATTATGGGGTCACAGGGAATGGGTATTTTAAGACTGTGTCTCGTCATTTCAGTCTGCGTTTCAAAATAAATTAGGTCAAGCACCTTTTCATTTGTTAAAGAGCTATTTGTGGACTGTCTTATTGCAATTTTAATTTGGGTTTATACTATTAAGATTTTTTTCCATAGTATTAAGTTCTATAAGTTGTAGTACATTTCTGGAAACAGTGGTACATGGCAGAACTTGATACTGTAGGATATTTTTATCAAGGGAGAGAACTGGGAATGGTAGCTCCCTGGGGATGCTGGGGCCTCTCTTCTTTTGCAGAGATTGTCAAGCTTTATGGAATGGAAAACAGTTACAAAGATGATATGCTACCTCTACATCTGCACCATCCAGTAGGGTAGCAGTGGGCCCTATAGGCCACTAAGCACTTGACTGGGACTGGTCCACACTGACGTGTGCTGTAAATACACAAACTAGATAACAGTGAGTTTGCACAAAAAAGAATGTAAAATATCTCATTAACAACTTTTTAATGTTAATTATATACTGAAATGATCATATTTTGGATATATTGGGTTAAATGTTAAAATTTCACCTGTTTCTTTTTGGATGTAGCTACTGGAAAATTTTGAATGGTGTGTATAGCTCACATTTTCTTTCTTTTAGACAGCGTTCTTCTAGCCTGGTTTTATAAATAGCTTGCATAGGTTCTAACTTCAGGATTATGTTAACAGGAAGATCTCCCTCTGAACAGCTGGTTTTGAACCTGAAGTCAAGACAGATCTGTAAGAGTGCTTGAGAGTCACTGGTTCTCAACTCATCCGCCCTGCGGTCCTTTTGACATGTGCGGTTGGCACGTGTAAAACCCCACCAGGATGGGGGAGAGGGAGGAATGTACTGGTTATTTTACTTAAAAAAAAAAAATGTGGCAGGACTTTTCTCTTTCCCCAAGATCCCTAATAGAAAGTAATATATCTCTGTAAACTTTTTAGGACAGGAACCAGGTCTTCTCATTTGTTTTTCTACATATTGCTGCTACCTTTAAGTGATGATGGACTTGAACTCCAGCTTTGGTTTCTGAGGCACCCTGGTGCTTGGTCCCTTACAATGGGGACTTGGCTGCTGGTCTGTTGTGGTTCATTCTGATAGACGTTTGAAGCAAAATCAACTAAGATACTAGCAGATGTAGTTTCAATTCCCTTGTCAACTATTAAACCGTGGAGGTCCAAAGAGAAGCCTAGAAAGTTGAGAGGCTTGCTCTGGGGAGACTGTTTCCCAGCCCTGGCACCTGACCCCTCACTGTAGCCCTGTGGTGAACCCCTTCACACCTCGTCATTGACCTGAATGAGGGGCTCAACACCTCTTCAGTTCCAAGTAAAGTTCAGGAGGGCTGTCTGCTTGGAACTGGGGGGAATGGAAGCCATAGTCATCGGGTGACAAGCAGCAAACTATAATAAGAAGAGGTTTAGCCTAACAGAGTCTCAGTTTGAGCTGTCACCTTCAAGGGCTTCCTCTGGTTTCTCTCTAGGGGCAAGCTTTGTGTGATTGATTGGAAGACATCAGAGAAGCCAAAGCCTTTCATCCGAAACACGTTTGACAACCCACTGCAAGTCGTGGCGTATGTTGGTGCCGTGAACCACGACGCCAACTACAGCTTTCAGGTCAGGACGCAGAGCCTGGCTTACTTCAGGCTTTGCCCATGCCAGGTCATAGCTCCTTCAAGTTCTATCCTGTGTGTATCCGACCGCTTCCTCTGTTCTGCCCTTCTACACTTCACAGAGCACTTTCCCCACTTCCTGGGCTTTTTGTTGTTAATAGTTCTTTAATGATCACAGTGGGTTCTTTATGTTCATCTTTCTGTTCTTGTGTATCATCAGCCCGTCTTAGAAACTGAGGTGGGAGCTCTCACTGCTAATTGTTTTGCTCTGGGCTTGCCCTGGAGTGAGAAGGGAGCGAGCCTCAGTCCTGGTGCCGCTGCAAACTCTGGAATCGCCCTGCTCTTTCCTAGGTTCAGTGTGGCTTGATCGTGGTGGCCTACAAAGACGGGTCCCCCGCCCACCCACATTTCATGGACGCCGAGCTCTGCTCCCAGTACTGGGCAAAGTGGCTTCTTCGACTGGAAGAATATACAAAGAAGGAAAAGAGCCAGAATATCCAGAAACTAGATTAGGGGCAGGAAGCCGCATTGGAACAGGAAGCACTTGTTCACAGTTAGGAAGATGTGTCGCTATTTGCTGTGACCTGAGATGAGGTGCCACAGGGTCTGAGAGCTGCATCAACACAGGCACAACCAGTAACTTGTTGAAATTATTGCAACCAAAAAGATGAAGCCAGAAAAGTTAAATTCAAAGAATCGGACTCGCGCCCATAAAAGACCATCTCTGCTACCTTTGGCTGGCATTTCCCTGGATAAGGGACAGGCAGCACTGGACTGCCACAGTGTTGCTGACTCTTGGACCTTCTGTGTCCAGGGCAGTACGCTCAGTCTTTGCACTGAGACATTCAGGGCAGTGCAGTTTGGTGTGCCAAGCGCTTCCCTGGGGCACACCGCGGGGAGCAGGCCACGTACCCCCAGGGTGTGTGTGCAGTGAGAATGCCAGTGGAGATTCCTAAATGATGCCTTAGCTTTTGGGGTTCCCTGTATTTCATTTGAGGGAGAAAGCATCCATTTACCATTTTTAAAGAATAAACATGTGATCTCTTAGCCTCCAATTAACATTGCTCTCCGGAAAGACTGTGCACACTCCCTGTATTGCTGCATTGCCCCTTGGCCTTCTGCCAGATAATCCTCGGAAGCGGCTGGGCCCCCTCTGAGAATTGTACTTCTGGGTATTTTGGTAGCTATCTTCTGGTTTGAGTCAAAGAATCGTGTACATGGAGAAAATTGTTTATGGAATTTTCCATCTACGGGGAACAATAATGACATCTTTTAGGGTTTTTTTTCTGTGTTTGATCAGTGATAAAATTAATTAGTAGTCACTAATTAAGTCACTGGGTTTGGGAAACCTAAATAAAATGCCCACTACCCCCCTGGGGGATGGCTCCCTGTTTCATGGTGTAGGTTAGCACTTAAGTTACAGTTGCTATCTTAAAATAGTAGGTGCTCCAGTCACTTTTTTCTTTCATTAGCCATTAATTATAAGAAATAAAAGATGAAGTAAAGGCTTTTGGTTTTGCTTTTTATTTAAATGTGTGCATTTACAGGGTGATTTCACAAACCTGGAATTGTTTAGATTTTGTTTGTAAATTCAGTATCTTACCCACCTTAATCTTGACCCAGTAGCTTTGGGGTGTGTTACACATACATGCACACAAGGTCACCTCACAGGGAAAGTGAGCTTTGAGTGGGGCGAAGGATTGAGGGAGACCTTGTGATGACTCCACACACCTCGCGTGCTTTTCAAGCAGCCTAGTGAGTAAGTGAGTGAGTGAGTGAAAGTCGCTCAGTCATGTCCAACTCTGTGACTCCATGGACTATAGAGTCCATGGAATTCTCCAGGCCAGAATACTGGAGTGGGTAGCCTTTCCCTTCTCCAGGGGATCTTCCCAACCCAGGGATCAAACCCAGGTCTCCCTCATTGCAGACAGATTCTTTACCAGCTGAGCCACAAGGGAAGCCTTTCAAGCAGCCTATATTCCCGTAATTTCCAAAGTCAGGGATCACATGAAAATATTCGGATTGTCCCAGCTGGTGTGGCCCCAGCCCCACCAAGCACCACCCTGGAGTTCAGAAGCCCAGACCCAGCAAGTTCTCTCTGGTGCAAATAGTCACACCCTGGACCTGTCAGTCTGCACCCAGAGCTAGTTCAGTGCAGTCGCTCAGCCATGTCTGACTCTTTGCGACAAGTAGCACACCAGTCCTCCCTGTCCATCACCAACTCCCAGAGCCTACTCAAACTCATGTCCATTGGGTCGGTGATGCCATCCAACCATCTCATCCTCTGTCATCCCCTTGTCCTCCCGCTTTTAATCTTTCCCAGCATCGGTCTTTTTCACTGAATCAGCTCTTCACCTCAGGTGGCCAAAGTATTGGAGTTTCAGTTTCAGTATCAGTCCTTCTAATTAGTATTCAGGACTGATTTCCTTTAGGATAGACTAGTTTGATCTTGCTGTCTAAGGGACTCTCAAGAGTCTTCTGCAACACCACAGTTCTAAAGTATCAGTTCTTCAGCACTCAGCTTTCTTTATGGTCCAGCTCTTACATCCATACATGACTACTGGAAAAACCATAGATTCGACTATATGGAACTTTGTTGGTAAGGTAATGTCTCTGCTTTTTAATACACTGACTAGGTTGGTCATAGCTTTTCTCCCAAGGAGAAGCGTCTTTTAATTTCATGGCTGCAACCACTGTCTGTAGTGATTTTGGAGCCCAAGAAAATAAAGTCTGTCACTGTTTCCATTGTTTCCCCATCTATCTGCCATGAAGTGATGGGACCAGATGCCATGATCTTAGTTTTTTGAATGTTGACTTTTAAGCCAGCTTTTTCACTCGCCTCTTTCACTTTCATCAGGAGGCTCTTTAGTTCCTCTTTGCTTTCTGCCATAAGAGTGGTGTTATCTGCATATCTGAGGTTACTGATATTCCCCCTGCAATCTTGATTCCAGCTTGTGCTTCATCCAGTCCAGCATTTCGCATGATGTACTCTGCATACAAGTTAAATAAGCAGGGTGACAACATACAGCCTTGACGTACTCCTTTCTCAATTTGGAACCAGTCCGTTGTTCTATGTCCGGTTCTACCTGTTGCTTCTTGACCTGCATACAGATTTCTCAGGAGTCAGGTAAGGTGGTCTGGTAGTCCCATCTCTTGAAGAATTTTCCACAGTTTGTTGAGATCCACACAGTCAAAGGCTTTAGCATAGTCAATGAAGCAGATGTTTTTCTGGAACTCTTGCTTTTTCTATGATCCAGCAGATGTTGGCAATTTGCTCCCAAGCTAAGGTGGCACCAGTTGTTCCATGAAGGACCCTCAGTCCACCGAGGAAGCCCTGCTGGGAGCGGGGACAGTTACAGCCTCCCTGCAGCCCCCACCCCTCAGCTTTCCCAGTGATGGACGCTCAGCCCTGGGGGTGTGGGGGGCTCAAGTGAAAAGCAGTTGTTTCACTACCGAGGCTCAGAAGAGCACATATAAAGGAGCCACAGCTTTTCAAGAGTTGCCATGGCTGTTACCAGTGTTTGGATTCCTCCTGCTCCTGTATGTGACATGACGTATTAACCTCCAGTGAAGTGAAGCAGGATTTGCAACAAGGAGAGAGTCTAATTGAGGATAATTCAAACATTTTAAAAAGGAGGTGCAGATGGCTCTACTGAGACTTCCTCACAAAAGTGCAGAACAGCCAAACTGCCCTGAGCTTTGAGAGCATCCGGTAGATGCAAAGCTGTCTACTCAAAAACTATTCCCCTTTTTCCTCTGCAATCCTACACCTTTTGTTTTTTTTTTTTTTTTTTTGCAGTGTGACTTGTGGAATCTTAGTTCCCTGACCAGGGATTGAACCTAAGCCCCAGCATTGAAAGTGCAGAGTCCTAACTACTGGACCACCAGGAAACTCCCTATGCATTATTATTATTAATGCATTTAGCAGCTAGCAAAAGCTCCATGGTGGCACTGAAAGCCAATTTTCAATTTTTTCCCCCTCAGACTTGGCTTCTCAATCAGAGCCATTAGCCCCCATTAATCTGGGACCATTAACCTCTATAAACCTCTTCCAGTTCTAGGAAAGCTTGTCAACAAAATCCAACATACGATTTTTGTAAGCATTCACCCTAGTGAATACAAGAAGCGGGTTTGTCCTAAGTCATTGTGTTTCCAGGTAACCCATTTGGATGGAGAATCCCATAGACAGAGGAGCCTGGCGGACTACAGTCCATGGGGTCACAAAGAGTCGGACACAACTGTGCACATAAACTCATTACTTACTTAATTTGCCTACAGGCTTTAGAAGGAGTTGGAGGGGGTAATTTGTTTTAATCACCAATCTTTCCACCTGAGCAATTAAACATTTGATTATAACCTACCCTACCATCCTCCTACACACAAAAACTAAAGCAAGGAAGGTTGGAACTTTTATGTTTAAAGAAACACCTTAGTCGTTTGGAGTTGGTGTCTAAGGAGAAACATTGTCTTAAACCAAACCAATTAATTACTAAGTAAAAGACAAGTGACTCTCCTGGGCTCCCACCACCACCTTCCTTTCCTTCCAGGTTAACAAGATGTCCTGGCTGGCATCTAACCCGCTGAACTTGAAAGCTATTTACACTAAAGAGGCTTCCTAGGGAGACCGCCTTACCTGAGCAAAGGCTTCCCTGGTGCCTTGACAATCACAGCTGTCAGATTTAAGAAATGCATTTGTGAAGATCAATCATAAAACGCTATTCGAAGTTAGAGTGGGGTTTGAGATTTTTCCTTTTTGCTCAAGAGATTAGGGAGGAAGATGGGGAGACAAAAAATAATAGGCATTACACATAACAGCCCTTCTCCCTAATCCTGCTTCCCTCTCCCTTAAGATGTGTGTGTGCCTGCTAAGTCACTTTAGTCGTGTCCGACTCTTTGCAACCCTATGGACTGTAGCCCGTCAGGCTCCTCTGTCCAGGGGACTCTCCAGGCAAGAATATTGGAGTGGGTAGCCATTCCCTTCTCCAGGGGATCTTCCTGACCCAGGGATAGATCTTGGGTCTCAGGCATTGCAGGTAGATTCTTTAACCATCTGAGCTACCAGGAGAGCCTCCCTTGAAATAAACACCATCATAAATTTGGTGCGTTCTCTTTCTAGCATGTCCTTTTACAGTCTTAAAGCTTACACATGTGCTGGTCTCCATGAATAACAGGCAGTTCTGCTTTCTGTGTTGGTTTCTACCTCTGTGTCTCAACACAAGTCTCAAGACCATCCAGGCTGATGCCCCTAAATCCAGCGCAGGACCCCCAGCCGCTCTGCATGTCCCCTCCTGTTTCACAGTCTCACCTGTGGACTGTTAGACTGTTCTCTCCTGCCGACATCACTGCAGTGAGCACCCCCATGTGTGCCTGTTCACAGGACACTCAGGGCACGTGCAGTGCAACGGAAGCAGGTGTGGGTCTTGGCCCTCCCACTTACCAGTTCCGTGACCTTGGGCAGGTTACCTGATCTCTCTGTGGCTGGCTTCCTCATTTGTAAATTGACGGGAAATGAG